TTCCCCCCCCCCCAATAGCTAGCAATCCAAAACAGTCCAGTGGAGCCTAAGCGGTGGGTGTTGTCTCCTGACACACTTCCGGTCAGAGGGTGTGGCATATGCAAATAAGTTATGCTAATGAGTTGTGCTAATGAGCTCCTGCACCTCTTTTTCTACGAAATGACCCATGGTTAGACCCAACACTTCCATGAACAGAAGGAGGGGTGATTTTTGCCAACTCCACCCTCCCGTCTTCCAGCATCTCAGGGACATTTTGGGCTGCAGCAGAAGGGTGGGAGCTCTAGCAACAGAAAGATTTTGCTCGGTGCTTTACCCCTTCAACTCTCTGAAGCTTAGCATGCTAGAAAATATTCTGCATTCTCTCTCGGCTCTAAATGCAGCATGTAAGAGTATTCATTTCTCAAAGGTGTTGACAGTCATCATCAGAGTATAATGGACTGAAACTCAGGAGCAAAGTTTTCCAGCAGAGATGGGTGACCTCAAAACCATCACGCCTGCATCCTCTTATTCTCAAGCATAGCTTAAACAATCTAAAGAAAACATGAAATGTAATTAATGGACCCGCTAACAGCTTAATTAGCTTAGTTCCTCAGGCGATGTTTAATTGTAGGATTAATCCCAGTGAGAGAAATACTGTCAGTGATAAATGTAGAACCTTTCCAGCATCCTGTTGCTACCCAGATAGAGCTTCATTTAATATCAGACCAGACAACGATCAAGATCATGTGCCTTGCTCTGACCACAAAACACAAAGTGTAGGTTTGTGCAACCTTAGGTAGCCTGGAAGTTGTGCAGGAGAGGGAGAGGGGGTTAACCCTTGAACCTCTGCTTGGTTTTACTATTTGAAATGGAGCTCCCTACTTTGTTACTAGCATCAGACCAGAAACAATGTGATTTTAAAGGGACACGTCTTCTCTCCTTTACAATGCTAAACCTAGTCCCCGGCACATAATCCAGTGGAGGCTGAAGAGGCAACCGCCATATTTCGTTTCCTATATAGTTCTAAGGAAAACTGAAGCCCCAAATGCCTGCAATTTCCATTTTATGGGAAGAAGACCTGAGATCTTTTTCATATTTAATTAGAATCCCTCCCTGAGATCTAGCTGAAAGTCTAGGGCAACAAGAAACAGGAGGGAAAATGGTGCAGAATCTCAAAACACAGAAACAGAATGGTGTTGAATGATTCGTTGGAAGTAATACCCTAGATACAGTGCAGATAATGCAAAGCGACTGCATCAGCAAATCTGTACAGATCTGCATTATGGATCTGCAGCTCTATTATATGTATGTAGAATGTATTATTGGGCCAGATGTTTGCACCCAGCCAAATCCCCTTCAAATGAAAGACATTTCCTTCGACTCCCAGTTCCACAAATGAACCTGATAAGTTACAGGAGTTTGGGGGTTGCTGCTATTCGAGAGCAGAGAAAACCTTTAAAAATTCACAAACCTCAGTTTTTTACTTTAAGGAAGCATCGAAGAGCTATGTTATAATAAAAGTCTGCATGGTAACATATGGCAAATGTATAATGTGTTGGCTGAGTGATCTGGTTAGTGGATAACACGCATTATTCATATGGAACACGTGTGTGCGTGTTACACACACACATGCTCTATAAGCAATTCAAAAGATACTTCTGCAAGTGAGTACATGGGCATGCTTACCTAAGAGCCCCGGCCATCCCAATATCATTCAAATACATGTGAAATGATGTCACTGCTTCAGTTTGGCCAGCTGCAGGTCAATTGGACGAATTAAAAATTTGCTCATATAGAAACCATCACAAACTTCAGGATACATGCAGTGAGCAAAAACATATCCTTACTGGAAAAGCTCCTGGTCTGATATTGTAGCTGTGTGCAGTAGGTTATACAGCCCCGCGTGTGCAGAATCGGCTGAGTAGTTCAGGTCACCATCCTTTCCCTGCTTCGAGGCACTGAGCCTGAAGAGACTGGAGCAACGCAAGGCCAGTTCTAGAGCATCCAACCAGCATCGGCCTGGAAAACACAAAAACCACATTCCTAAGCGCCGTAGACGTCAAGTGGGATGACGGAAATGTTCACTTGCCTGCTTCTCCTTGAATGAATCCAGACGTTTAGTCCATTTTAAACGAGGGTGATAACAGGTAAGACGCAGCAAGGATTTCAGTTCTCTTGAGAGTAATGAGAACACATGGAGAACAAATGCGACCATATGATATTCTGCTCCACGAAGATAGCTTTTTATGCCTCCCAGCTGACAGCCCGACCATGAAAAATCTCAAAAGAGGAATCTCAACACACCAAAACCACTACTAATCTGCCAATGATTATCATACCATGCATACAGGCATAAGCATAACTATCATGCATTCAGTTTCCTACCAATGTAGTCACTGTTACTCAGGGCTATTTTGGGGGCAGGAACGCGCAGGAACGGCGTTCCGGCTGGCTTCAGAGTTGGCCACGCCCACTACAGCCAAAACCTCTCCATGCGTGGCTACAAAGGGGAGGCCTGGAGAGCGACACCACCACCACCACCACCCCAGTGACTCCGAGGTGGGCGGCCAGGGGGGCCCTGGAAGGATCGGGGAGGCATTTAAATGCCTCTCCGTGCCTTCCCCAGCCTGTCCAAGGGCCGGCTTGCCCGGGCGCTCCACAGCCGCAGAGCACCTGGGCAAGCCAAGTGAAGGCAGTTTAAGCGGCCTTCCCTTCCCTTCAACGGGGGGCTTGCCTGGGCTCCCCGCAGTTGCGGGGCGCCGAGCAAACCAAGGGAAGGCATGGGGTGTGGCCTAATATGCTAATGTCTTGTGCTGTCAGGGGTGTGGTCTAATAGGCTAATGAATTTCTGCTGTTGGGTGCGGCCTATTATGTGCTGAGCTTTTTCTACAAAAAAAGCCCTGCTGTTACTGAAGCACTTCAGTATTACCCATATTATTTAGATTCCACAAATTCTACCCATGTTATCCAGATACCACAAATACATTTTGAAGCTATGCAAAAGCGTACGTATGAAAAGTTTATTCTATAATTGTGTAGAATTTTATTTTTCTCGTTCTTTTCCTTCTGAACAGCCTTTTTCTGTTGTTTGCTTGGAAACGACTACTATGGAAAAGTGTGTGAAACCTTAATAAACTGGAGGAAATTCCTTATACAAATCCACTACACAAATCTGCTGAAGTTCTTAAGGAATCCCACACCCTTTCACAGATGATCAAAGGAGTGGCCCAAAGATCCCAAATGTGAAGCAGATAGTGAATTCAGCTTGCAACACAAATTCTTATCTTTTGAAGCCGTCCATGCTTGTAGCTGCCACCACTTCCTGTGGCAGTGAATTCCAAGTGTTAATCACTCTTTGGGTGAAGAAGTACTTCTTATCTTCCATTTAGCAGGAAACAGTCAAAAATAAAATGAGAAAACTGAGTTACGTGGATCCACACCACCATAAGTGAAGTTTCAGTATCATACAAAGCAATGTTCGTGTACTACCAAACTGCAGCTTGTACCACTAATCACAGCTTGCCTCATTTTTTCTTTGTTGCTAGAAGCAGGGCCAAACCTACTAGCAGGCGGGGGATAAATGGATTTCTTAAATTGAAATGGATGCCAAAATTTGTGTATTTTATTAGTATTTCTGTCTCTCTGTTCATTCCCACATTCTGCATCCAAACCCCCGCCAGAATCTCAAACCGGTCTTTCCTTTGGAATGGCCACTGTTCACATCCTGCTCCCTTCCCCTCTGCTCATTGGGCAGTACTCAAGTGTTGCCAGAGGCGCTGCCTTTTACTCTTGGGTAGCCCCAATAGCAAGGGCACCCCACTTCTAACCTAACCCACAGAAACTCAGGCCAAGGAAGGCACTCCTGGTTCTGAAACACAGAGCTAGCCACAGCTCTGAAAAAGAGCTCTCCATTTTCAGATGACAGGCAACCTCAGAGCAATCCTCCAGTCTTCCCCTTCCACCCAGTAGAGATTATGTTTATGAAGAAAAAGAGATTGGATTTATACCCTGCCCTTCACTCAGAGTCTCAGAGCGGCTTACAAACTCCTTTCCCTTCCCCTCCCCACAACAGACACCCTGGGAGGTAGGTGGGGCTGAGAGAGCTCTGACAGAAACTGCTGTTTTTCAAGGACAGCTCTTATCAGAACTACGCCTTGCCCAAGGTCATCCAGACAGGTGCAAGGAATGGGGATTCAAACCCGGTTCTCCTAGATTAGAGTCTGCGCACTTAACCACTACACCAGACATTATGGAATGACAATGAGTTCTACCAGGTAAAGTATTTACATTTCTAAAGTCTATTCAAAAGCCGCTTGGCAAATAACCCTGTCTCCAATAATTCTTTGAACTGAATACTTGTCTTTTCTGCTCTGTCCCTCAGGATACTTGGATAAACCAATCCATCATTCAAATGTTTAGCCCATCTTTTGTCTATACTTGGGAGCCTTTTCAAAATAACCTGGCAGGACCATTAGTGGTCAGATAATCCATTCAACTAGCCACCCAGCACCTGGCTTCTATTGTTAAATCCAGACCCTGCCTCTCTGGAAGCTCATTGGTCACATCTAGGCCTTGCCCATCCTGATGCCACACACCCCTGGGACTCATCATTGGTCCAAGAAATCTATTGTTCTCACCTGAGACCAGCCCCCAGGGCCGCCCATTCATCTGCATTGTCTTCCAGTGGGTATATCCCAGCGAACACATGGCCTCAGACAGTGTGTTTTTCTGCCATGCCGCCACCTGGCAGGCCACCCCTGAAACCCTCTGGGTTTTAGGCCACAATCCTTCTTCATGGACCTCTGCACATCCGGACAGGTTGTATCACCCCTCTATAAGCTATCACCTCTGCTTCCTTAGTTCTATATTGTGCGCGTGAACGCTTAAGGATATTTAGTAAATGAATAATTTTATATTGAAACTAGCCTCCGTGCCTGTTTTTGGTGTTTCTGGAAGAAGTGGGACCCCTGTATATAAAGATATTTGTTCCCTTATTGCCTATTGCTATTTTATAATATCTCATATTCCCCAGTATTGATAATAACTCAGAGCAATCAGGCTAACACAAGGGTACAACAAGCAAACTCTGGAGCACGACGGAAGACAGGAGGGCCTGGCGTGATGTGGTCCATGGGGGTTGCGAAGAGTCGGACTCAACTGTGCGACTGAACAACAACAAGGGTACAACATGGCACTCATGTGCCCTAAATTAGTAGCAAAGCTGCTTGTTGAAAAAATATACAGTGCCATTGGCCATTGTTCTACTATAATTTTGTTCAGGATTATTTTGTACAAATTGAGACAATGGGTTGGCAGAGGAAAATTAGTGCTTGATCCTATGTATGTTTTCATTCACTCACTGGGTCACAGGTTCAAAGTCTGTAATTAGTTCCTGCTTCCACTGGTATTTAAGTGCTGTTTATTCTGAAACACTGCTTTACTCCAGGTGGCATACAATTGAATACAGTGTCTTAGTTGTAGAAATACTACCCTGAGTATTATTTCAGTTATTTTAATCTTTAAACCCTAATGTGGTATTCAATCACACAAATGCTACTGTTCAAAATTTCTGACATAAGAAAAATGGAACACCAAAGGATGTAATTCTTCATAAAATAAATAACTCTTTATACACAGTGAAACTAATGTTAAGGCAGACATTCACAAAATGCTGGCTTTCATATCGTACTGCAAACTCCTCTATCTTTTATCAATATACAATTTAAGACTTAAAGAGACTTCCCTATCCTGCCAATGGCGTCCTTTGATCCAGAACAAACATCATTACCGTCCTAGAAAACAGCATTCCCAGACTTGCAACAATCATTTCATGTACATGAGAAGCTATATTTGGAGAAAAATTGCTGGGATACCAGCCAATAAAGGCAATTGGACAGCCTGAGACTTTCTGGATCCAGAACCAGCCAACATAATGTCTCTCTCTCTCACACACACACAAATGGGAAGACAGCCAGTTATTTGTGTGGGAACAGCTTATCAAATATAGATGGTATTGAACAGCCTAAATAGGAAGAGGACCCAATAGTCCATTGCAAAAAATCCATGATCAGGGAAAAGAGATACTGCTAGCCTGAGATTTTCAAGCACTGTGACATTTTCCTCCACTCCCACAGACTACCACTTACCAAACTAAACAGATTAGAGTTCCTCTCTAGGCGAAGGCTGCTGAGCACCAAGAACGGCGGGTAGTGGTGGATTAAATTATTATTTTTTTAATTTAAAATTCACCAGCACCCCTTGCAGGATGATGTCGCTTCTGGGGAATACCCAGAAGAGACAGTGATAACTCTAGGAATCATTGGAAACTCTATGGTAAAGCATAGAGTTTCTGGCAATTACCACCATTGCTTCCAGGTATTCCCCTGAAGTGATGTCATTGTGCTAGTGATGCCACCCCCCACACACCATTTCTCCACCCCCCAAACCTCCTGCTGGTTTCCTAGCAACCGTACTGCTGTCTATAGACCTTGGGTTCTTTTCTCCCCATCTTCTGTTAGGACTGAAGGGTAAACTTGGGGTCTTTGGTCTACACAGGTGCTCTGACTGCTCCTGTAAAGATTACCTAAGGCCCAGTATTTTAAACACGGACAATATACTTGACTACCCATTAGCCAAATGGTCTGCTCATGCCAGCTTTTTTTCCCATTTTAACTTTTATTTAAATTTTATAAAGATAACAAAGAAGTTAAAATTTACCCAACGCTAGAGAAATGCAATTACATAATATACTTATAAAACAGGCATGATAACGTACATACATAGTAGTTGCAATATTACATCTAATGCGAAATTTTAGGATTAGAGTGAGTTACAAAACCAAGAGGTATGATAAGGGCTGTATTTGTAATCGTCTCTCGTGAGTCTTGTATAATGAGGAGACGCCCACTATACGAGGGATTTTACTCTAGACCACGTTGCGGAAGAGAAATATAAGAGGAAAGGAATGTGAGAAAAAGAGGGAGAGATTAGAGAAGAAGCAGTTGACTGTATGATTGGTTTGGAGGGGCAAGATCTTGCGTAAGAACATGAGTGATGAAAGGAAGCCATATCTCAGTGAAGTTTGTTTTTCTGGGGTAGGTATCTGACTGAAGTAGGCTATCTATAATTTTCTCCATTAATAGATGATCCCAGATCTTTAAGTACCATTCCATAAGAGAGGGTAGCGAATGTGATTTCCAGTGTTTTGCTAGTGAGCGGCTGTCAGCAAGCTATGTATTAATTCCCATCTGACCTTAGGGATCAAGGGATTATTTTTGTGATGCAAAAGGAACGATTCAGGCTAACACAGCTGAATAACCAGTTATTTGTGAAATGTGTTGATGGATCTTGTTCCAGAACTCTTGTAGTCGAGGGCATGTCCACCAGCAGTGACTGAAAGTACCAACTTCTCCACAACCTTTCCAACAAAGGGCCGTGTTAGAGGGTGAGAGTGTGCGGATTTTTAAGAAGTAATGTACCATCTTATTCAGTGTATGTGTGGGGTGGGTGGGGGACACCACATATCGTCAAGAGGCTGGTCACTAAGATCAGGTTCCAAGACTGTGAGCCTTGGCTCAGGTGCAGCCTTATCTTTATTGCCAGCTTTCAGCATCCATCTGTGCCAAAACACTAGTACCTAAATCTCTAACACTTTTCTCCTCTTAGTCTCTCTGCGACAGTCAGATTAAATATTTATATTTTGTATAAATAAACACAGTGTGTCCTGTTAAAGCTTATCATATAAACCAGCTCCTGCTAAACCATAAACACATTTATATCCTGCCCTACCCTGCACAAGTAGCTCACAACATGCAATAACAACAATACAATATTATATAAAACATCAGTCACAGCACTCAATAATCCCTGATGGCAGCACAATGATTCCAACTACAGTGACTCCTGCAACAGGGTCAGGGAGGGCACAGAACAGCTGGTACTGGTGCCAAGTTGATCTCGGCCACGTCCTAAGGCGATGGTGCATAATAAGATTGAGCAGGTTGAGCAGGGAAGGCTGGCGTCATTTTGGATGTTCGCCGCCTCCGCCAAAAGCTGGTGGCAGTTCTCTAAATCTGACGGCAGTTCTCTAAATCTGACGGCAGTTCTCCAAATCTAATGCTTAAGCTGACCACCAGAAAAATAAGTTCATATCTGTAAACCCATCATAAGAAGACACCGGTCTTTTTGAGTGGCACTCAGTGCAAGAAAAATTGTTTGGCAAGGGACTTTTCCAGTTACTTTGCCCTAGGCTTTGATTTGGTTAGTTCCTCACACTATGGAATACTTTGTACAACAGTTAGTTCAGCTTCATTGGCCGAGGCACATAGAAAAAACTGTAGTTAGAAAGGCAACTGTAGAGAGTGCCATGCCCACAGAAGGCAATTTAACACCCACCAGAATTATATTCTCATCTGCAGGGGTCGTTTTGTAGAAAAAGAGCTAGGGGGACTCATTAGCATAACTCATTAGCATATGCCACACCCCCTGACATCACCGGAAGTGTGTCATAAGGCCACACCCCCTGACATCACCAGAAGTGTGTCATAACAAGGCCACACACCCCGCCCGCACCGGCCCCGGCCGCCACCGCCGGCCTTGCAACTCTACTGCTGAGCCCCATTAGGGGCCCGGCGGTGGACCTGCAAGGCTGGTGGGAGTACAAGGAAGCCCCGCGAAGGCCCTCCCTGGCCCCAGGCAGGCAGGGGTGGGGAGAGGCAGGGAGGAAGCAACTTACCCTCCCTCTTCTCCTGCCTCCTCCTGGCTGAATGAGGGCCAGAAGCGGGGCGGCCAGAAGCAGGGGGCGGGGCTTCGTCATGTGCCCCGCCCCCGTACCTCACCCGGGGGAACTGCGATTCCCCTCAATCCCCCCCCGAAATGACCTCTGCTCATCTGTCAATGGAAACCTAACAAACAGCTCATGTAAATCAATCCAACCAACCATTGGTAAAATGGCTTTAGATTTGCAAAGCATGGCCTACCATGTTCTTTCCCCCTCAGGTACTTAGTAAACACTTCCTCTTGACAGCACATGAAACCAAGAAAGTCTGATGCAGTGTAATGTCCAGAATATTGGCTCTAGGCTAAGGAAACTTTTGTTCACCTATGAAAAATCTGCACTCAGCTAGGGAAGCACACTGACTTTACGAAAGACATTCTTTGGATCTTAACCACCCTTATTGTGAAGGAATAATCCCACATAATTATGTGGGAATAATCCCACATAAACTTCCATGACCTACTGGACAAGGTACACATAATAAGAGCATCACACGCAACTGTTTTTCATCCACCCCATACTTTTTAAATGTTATACTATAAGAACAAACCAAGATTCAAAAGTTCTGTTTTTCTGTAGGAAATTCTATCAAGCCATTTCCAAGAAAGAAAGTTCTAATTGTGGACGCAAACAGGAGTAGATTGCGGCTTGAATGCATACGTTTATTGCAAGCAACCACTAACAAATTAAGATCAGAGCATCCCTAAGGATACTGTAAATAAGACAGATAATCTAGCTTTCAGAAACTTACAGAATACAATTTAATAGACTTTCCCCAGCTTTGCCCATTCCCACCAGTGTGAAAGTCCTCAGACAAAAGTTCTGTGCCACTTTTCCCTACCAAGAATGTCCACATTGCTTTGCACAACATGTTTGGTGATTAAGTTAAATTGAATGGTAAGTTAAATTGATCTCCACGGAAACTTTTGTGTTTAAGCCATGATGGACAGTCACTGAGGCTATTTAATTGTGTCAAAAGCCTGAGAGACTGGCTGATTCTCATCACTCTTCCATGCACAGCATTCACCTGACTACCAGTTAAAATATTTGCTCTTGCTCCCCACCTCTAACCAAAATCTAACAATACATTGTAGATGTCTGGAAGGAGAGAATGGAGTGGTATAGGCAGTAAGTCCACAGAAAATGTGAGGTGGAATCTACCAGCAAGGTCATTGAGCTGGAAAAGGGGAAAGAAGGAAGCCTGAAGCCATAAATATTTTGTACCCCTTTCTACCACAGTAAAAACCGCCCTGAGCCGGCCTTAGCTGGGAGGGCGTGGTATAAATCGGATAATTAATTAATAAAAGGCAGATCTCATCATCAGAACAAAGACAGCCATCTAAGGAAAACAAAACATCAGAGGTCAGTATTTGCAGAGCCAAATAGTTTTGTAAGGAGTCAGTGGCCTAATCCAGCAAAGTCTAGTATAGGCTCGATCATTTGAGGGATGAATTGATAATGGCAAAGCAACATGGTCAACCACACATAATAAAATGGCAAATGTTTTCAGGCAGTCCATCAGCCTCTTCCCTGCTATGTTTTATCCATTAGAATATTTATGCCCCTCCTTTACGCTTAAATAAATACCATAGAGGCTTACAATACTAAAACCCACACAACCAAGGTTTGAGTCCCGTGGCACTTTTAAGACCAACAACGTTTTATTCAAGGTACAAGCTTTTGTGTACACACACACTTCTTCAGATATATTGAAATGGAAGTTGCTGGTCCATACCTATATACCTTTACCTATATGTGTGGATTAGTAACTTCCATTTCAATGTATCTGAAGGCGTTTGTGTGCACACAAAAGCTTATACCTTGAATAAAACGTTGTTGGACTTAAAGGTGCCACTGGATTTGAACTCTGTTCTGCTGCTTCAGACCAACATGGCTACCCACCTGAATCTATCCACACAACCAAAGCTGCACAGTGAGGCTCCAAGTGCCCACCTAGGAAAGTGTTAATTAAGTTGGGCTCCTTGCCTCCCTAGTAATAGGGCAATGTCATCACATTAGCATTTCCTTGCTCTCCATGCATGTAGCCAGTAAAGAGGAACAAGGGGGCTGGAAAGGGCTACTGGACTGGTGTCAAATGTTCTCCAATTTCATGCTTCCCTTGGCAGCACCAATAGTGGTGATACGTGTGATCTGAATGGGTGGTTGCTGCAGAGAATATGCATTAGAACTCCCATGTAACTTGTTGACACAGGACCATCCCTGGCCAGCTGCAGCTTGTTATCAGGATTCCAGTACAGAGTTGTTGTGGGAAAAGAATAACATTAGTCAGGGCAATTTTTGTAGCAGGGACTCCTTTGCATATTAGGCGACACACGTCTAATGTAGCCAATCCTCCAAGAGCTGACAGTAGCCCCTGTAAGAAGAGCTCTGTAAGCTCTTGGAGGATTGGCTACATTAGGGGTGTGTCGCCTAATATGCAAAGGAGTTCCTGCTACATAAAGAGCCCTGGATAGATAGATGATAGATGGATAGATAGGATCAGAGGTCATTTCGTAGAAAAAGAGCTAGGGGAACTCATTAGCATAACTCATTAGCATATGCCACACCCCCTGACATCAGGGGCCCGGCGGTGGACCTGCAAGGCCAGAGGGAGTGCGAGGAAGCCCCGCCAAGGCCCTCCCTGGCCCCAGGCAGGCAGGGGTGGGGAGAGGCGGGGAGGAAGCAACTTACCCTCCCTCTTCTCCTGCCTCCTCCTGGCTGAATGAGGGCTGGAAGCGGGGCGGCCAGAATCAGGGGGCGGGGCTTCGTCATGTGCCCCACCCCCCTGCACCTCACCCGGGGGAACTGTGTTCCCCCGCGTTCCCCCCCCGAAATGACCCCTAGACTGGGGGCTTCAAGAACCCTGACCTACGATGCCACATGGAATCCAGCCAACTTGTCTTCTG